GACGTGAGCGTAGTTGTGAATGTTGTGGCGTTGAATTTATTGGGGTTGTTGTGACGTTCGTTGTCATTGTTGTCGTTCTTTGTTGACGCTAGCGATGTTGAGTTGGCGATCGCTGTTGTCGTTGTTTGCTATGGTGGTAGTTGCTGGCGTTGTAATTCTAGTTGTGTGGACCTTTAGGCTGGGTTTGTTGCGGCTGTGGCATCTGTAACCATTTTGTAATTATGGCGATAGCTACCTCTTGTCGTTGTTGTGGTAATAATTTGGATTACTGCTAATGATATTGCGGTTATGATAGTTGTTATCGTTCGTGTTGTTGATGCCAATGTTGATGCTATTGCTGTGATTCTGTTGATGTAATCGTTGCGCTGCTCGGTTGGTATTTGTTGTGGTTTTATGTAGATGTTGGTTGATATTCACGTAGGTGAGGGGCTGCCCCAGTGCCGACGAGTACGTCGACGTCTGGGCCGTCCGGCTGACTGCTCTTCTGACAGCAGACGGTGATCTTATACAGCTCCCGTCTACCTGTAGATTTCCTTCAATGCGCGGTATTTCATGACATCATGGATGTGTTCGGTCCATAATGAAAGACCTTTGCTTTGCGGTGCTGTGTGTTGTTGTTGACGTTCAGAAATTCTATTTGTGGCCTTCTTTCTCGAGTCAGGGATTTCGTAAGCTAAAGGTGGGGATAGCACGGGCAGCGCGTGCCTTGTGACGTTCGCTTGCAGCGATGGTTGATTATGCTAAGCAGGTTACTGTTGCGATTGATTTCTACTGTTTGTGATATTTTCCTTCGTACCTTTCAGTGTAGGTGAATATGGGACAATTTGTTTGGCTTCTGCTACATAAGAGATTTCGCTTTCATTACCAATGAGTTTTATTTTTCCTGCGGTTCCATCTCGCTCGCCCGCGATTGCTGGAGGCATACCTGCTCCATTCGATGAGCAGCCATTTGAGTTGTCGTTGGCATTTTGCTGTGCATATAGTCCCTGTGGGCATCGTCCGATTAGTTGGGTTGGTATTGATTGTTGTTGTTGTCGCTGTTCTTGTGGTTGAATTCATTGCAGTCCTTGTGGAGCTATTGTTATGATTGTTATATTTTGGGCTGCCGATCTCTGGTGGTACTCGCTGTTGTCGTTGATGCTGCTGTAGCTGCGGTGCCTCCCGTGATATTGTTATGCTGGTTTGCAAGTGAGGCAAAATTGACTGTTGCCCCGAGATGGATACCGTGTTCTCAGGCGAGGCATTTGCCTTTTGTTCACGGAGGGTCGTATCAGCACTTATGGACCTGTGGCTTTCCGACATCGAAATGTCGGAGCGTTGGCCAACAGGTATGGGTCGTGGATCAACATTGGCCAGTCAGGGGCTCTCGTTGTGTTGGTCTGACCCTGGCGATGCGTGCAGCCTTGCAATGGGCGTTACCTCTTCGAAATCTACTTGATTGTCCTTCGAGCGTGCGTCACTGACCTCGTAGGCTGCTAGGAACGCCCACGTTACCAAGTTGACTTGCGCGTCGTGGCTAGTCTCGTAGGCCGCGGTGGACTACGACTCTAACAGGTGTGGGTTATAGTGAAAGGCGTTGCGTCACTAACTTTCCTGAGGACGATCGTTGGGAGGTCTGGATGCTGCATTTGTGTCCTTGCGGGCTTCATTGCATGGAAAGGCTAGATTTCGATATGTTCGAGGGCTTTGTTTCATATCGCGGCGTAGTGGTGTTTCTCGTTGTAGGTACGGTGCATTTGCTAAGCTCAACGAGGACGGTACGTCTCGCTCTTGACAGCAGTTGATAGTGCGTACGCGTCGTCGGCTGCAGATCCAGCAGTGCAAGACCTGTGGGTTTGGGCAATTAAGCTCGAGCTCTGTGCACATCGTCGGCATGCCGCGGTCGCATATATTCGCTTCTTTTGCGGCATTGAGTCCGGTAACCACACCCCTTTGTTCGGCAGATCGCGCCATCGGGCGACTGGCTGATATTCTCAGCGTGTTTCATGGGATGCTTCACGCGTCATGTTGCCCTTTGGAATCGCCTCAAAATCGCTGGCGAGTGCCATGAGTTCGTCTAGGTTGGTGAAATCTCGGCGCCATATGTACCACATGTGGTCGGGTTGCGCATTCGTACAAATGAGCTCCAGTTGTTCCTCCACCGTCATTGTGGTATGGCGCATCAGGTCTTGCAAAGCCAGCACGTAATCGTGGAATTTCTATTTCGGTCACTGCGTACGCCGGCAAATGTAATCTTCAAGTTGAGTGAAGTATCGTGGTGTCAGGAAGAGCTTTAAAAAATCGGCCTTAAACTTCTCCCAGGCTGTCCAGTATTGATTGTTGTTGCGATACCAAGTTAAGGCCGTATGCTTCTGCAAGCTCCTCGACCCGCTCGATGAAGGCAAGCGGCTTTCTGTGGCCGGTAAAGTTGAGCCCCCATCTGCTGACTACTTCGATGACAGGTCTCGTGTCGAACGCTACTGGGAAAACTCGGTATGGTCCGTCAATCGGGGTGGCGAGCTGGATGATCTCGTTGGTGTTGTTGGCTGGTGCCGAGATATTGTGGAAGAATCCCGGTGCCATTTTGGTATTCGGCGAGATGCTGGAACTGGCGATCGCGATAGTCGGAATAGTGTTGGGCTAAGCTTGATGGCAGCTGCCGGGTGTAATTTATTAAAACGCGAGCTTAACTAAAGTTATTAATACAAATAATTAAAACAGATGGGACTGCCCTGGGCGCTCTGATTTTTTTTTTTTATCTTGTGTGAATGTTATCTTGGTTTTTTTTCCCTTTTATTTTTGTTGATTTTTTCCTTTTCTCTTTGTTTATTTTTATTTTTCCACCTTGAATTTTGTTTGCTATTACCTTGGGTTGTTCGTGATTTGTTTGGTTGTTTTTTTGTTTGGCCCGTACAATTTTCTGTGTGGTTAGTAGCTTAGGTCTAAGTATTTTCTTTTTCTGACCATTTCTATTTGTTGTCTCTATTCTTTATGCGTACCTTAATCTATACGTGCTAGAGTGTATATGTGATTGTAATACTATTAATTAATTTGATTAATTAATAATGTTGGAATCATTCATTTCACAACGGTTCAAGAAAGTATTATGAAGATGGGAAAGAAGAACAAAGTTGGACCACCTTTAGTTTTTATTATTCTTTCTCTTCTTTTAATTAGAAACTACCTTCAAACCTTTTGTGTGGTTGTTTAATAGGTATTGGTAATGCTTTCCTTATGCGTGTTCTTCTTTCTCCCTCTTTTGAAGCACTATCGATCTGATAGCGGGTATAAGAGACAACGTGACGGTTATGGTTAGCCCAACTCTACTCACGCTGTTTTGCTTTTATTTCTCAACGTAAGTTGATTTTTTCCTTTTAAATATACGATATATAAGAAGGGAAAAAAAATCTTGAATTTAAATAAGATGTTTAGTTTGGATATTCAGTTTTCTTTTGCGATTCTCGGTGTAAAATTTACTTTCGTGTACGTTTCTCATACACTACCAGACAACTGCTTTACTTTAAGTGCATTTGTCCCTAACTTGCAAGGGGTAGTTCCGAACCAGATTTTTCTTCGCGTTAAAGTTATGACAAAGCTTATCTGATGCTCAGAAGGAAATATAAAATGCCGATACTCGTTATAGAAGAATGTCGAGGGTGTAATAAGATCTTCTACAATGCAATTGTGTGTTTTTCAAATTCGTTAATTTGAATTTTTTTCTTTTCTATTTGAGTTCCTTTTTTATCTCTTTGTTTCTTCATTCACTTTACACATCCATTCTAGAAATTTTTCTCTCGCTTTTCAAAATGATGGTACCCGTAGGTTCGAAATGTTCAACGTCGACGTTTGTCGGTATATTTTCCAAAACTATTCAGTACGAAATATTATGGAAATCGCCTTCCTTCCTTTTCAAAAGGCTATTGTTGCAAATTCCCTATGAATTGTTTGGCTGTCGAGTGTAGGACGTTTGCTCTTGAGATATTGTGGAATCAGGGTGCCTTTTCTATGTATTTGGTAATTCTTATCCTAACCAAATTTTGTATTTTTAACTTTAAGATGCGTTTTAGCCTTTAGTTCTTTTTATCATATTGCATTACCATATTTCGGTTTATTATCCGAGCGAAACATGCAGGCAAAGGGAATGCGTAACTAACATATTTCACAGAGATATACTGTTGGAAACCGAAAGCGTCCTGGAACTCGTGTTTTCCTTTGCACAAATAACCCCGCTTTGATGTAAAGAGACTCTGATTAAATGGGTGGATTTTCATCGACAACTTAATAAGTTTTAATCCACAATTTAAGAATAAGTTTTAATAATGCATTGGTTGATCTATTCTATTTCACCGAACCCTTATTTTTGTGTAAATATTGAATGCAAAGATTTTGTACCAAAATTCCTAGTAAATTAGCTTTTAACCACAAATTAAATAATTCGCAAAAATATGCGACCGACCCGCAAGGGGCAGACGCGTTAACTAAGGTCGTTGGCCACCAAGATTTGCGTTCTTTTAAATGGAATTGTTGCTCACTGACCTGAAATCACACCCTGTTGTAGGGGTAGGGATACCTGTTGTTGGTGCTCGTTGTTAAGAAAGCTGTTTTGTTATTCCTGTCGTTGCCGTAATTGTTGTTGTAGTTGTGGTGGTTGTTACCCTGATGTTTGGTGAGATTATTGTTGTTGTTGTTGTATGTGTTGTTGTTCTGATTCTTGATGAAGTTTTTGGAATTATTGCTGTGGGTGGGGTTGGTAATGTGTTGAAGGTTGGTTGGCAGTTGTCGGGTGACTTAAGTGCACCGGACCTGCCTGCAATTGTACTTTCCATTGCTGTTGCGGCCGTTGTTGCTGAACAGAATAATGATGGAGCTGATGAGGGTGTTGCTGCTGTTGACTTAGGCACCTGAAATAGGTAAAACGTTAATACCTGTTTCTGTTATTGTTATAAATTTAAATTTGGTTTTTTTTTTTCGTCCGTTCGGTTCTTCGGCCCCCTCATTGTATAGCTGTTGTTGTTATGACGTAGGACACGCACATGGATGAATTTGTTGCACTCAACATAGTTTAATGTGATCTTGCAAAATGATATCTTTGTAATTTTTCCTTTCCCTTTTCCTCTTCCTTTTTCTTTCATCTTTTCTCTGTGTGCAACTTTGTTAGCAATTTAGTTTTCTCCTGTGCTTTTGAATATATTTTATTAAATTTTATACAAATGCTTTTATTACATATTCGCAAAATGTTTGCACGCACACACAAGCATACGCGCGCAATTGGTTATGATCATTTGATTGCTTACGTCACACTCTT